AAAATAAATGCCTTTACGATGTGATACGAGATTTGAAAAGGGAGAAAAAAAAGTTTGGCAAAAGGTGGGATCGAACCCGGGTCGATCGCGTCAAAATGCCAACGACTAGCGCTTATCCATCTCACTACTGGAGCTGATGTTTTGCAGCCACTTTTAACTAAATGTAAATATACACTCCGTATTGTTTTATTGACAGATGTCTCGTCCAGTCAGCGGTGAGTAATCCCAAACCAATGGCGCTGTCTCAAACTATACCTACCTTTTCCGGTTTGTCTGATTTGTCGTTGTGTTTTCTGACTTGTTAATTTGTTTTCGGATTTGTCGTTGTGCTTTCTGACTTGTTATAATGTTTTATGAATTGTTGTTGTGCTTTCTGAATTTCTTATTTTGTTTTTTAGACTTGCATTTGCGTTTGTAATGTGTTATTTTGTTTTCTGAATTGTGATTTGCTTTGCACTTCTCGACCACCGTATGATAGGCCTACCACACACACACACACACACACACACAAAAAGTGGACAAGAGAGTAATAAAAAGGAAGAAAATATTTAGTCCAGAAAACGGGCTACTGCCCAGTCCATAAAGAGAGTTGTAGACGCGTAAAACCTTACTTATGATAAATCATATCAACAAAATATTTCATTAAAAAGCTAAAGGCACTGAAATCCAGACACATGTTTTTCTCCACTTGATGGAATAATTTGTATCCTTCTTATAGGGATAGTTCATCCAAAAATATCAATAATAATGTAATATTCACTCACCCTCGTTGTTTTCCCTTAAACCAGGTCTTAGCTGGTTTAACTGGTATTTTATTTAATTTAATTTATTTATCCTTTATTTTACCAGGAATTATCCCATTGAGTTATAAACATCTTCTACCAGGGAGTCCTGGCCAAAATGGCAGCACAGAAAGATTCACACAAACAGATTACACAAACACATAAAACCAAAAATATAATAAAGAATCAAATATAACCTAGCATCATATGAAATGAAAAAATAAAACATTCACACGTTTCCTTCAGTAGGACTCCCATCTTTAACTATTTAAAGATGGTTGTGATTTAACACATTGCATCATGCTATCATTTAAAACACACAGCACACATTAGTTCTTTAAGTAGCCTAGTTGCATAACACCGACTTTTATTAGAAAAGACTTTACTTTGTTAAATGTATAAGGAACGGAGCATTTACGCCATTCCTTTTAGGTTAGACGTGTTTGGGGCGTTTTGCAAAGAAGAACCCTAGTTAAGTCATGATACATTGATTCAAAAGCGACCTCTCGTGGTAACTGTAGTAACTACACTTCAGTCAAATATTTAGTCTTTTTTTTTTCTTTATTTAGTAATTTTATTAACTAAATAAACCTATGAATCCAAATTCATGATACATACAGGTACATGTTGTCTTCAGAACTATTCAGTATATTTCTTAGACCCCTTTCAATCTGGCTTCCGTCCACTCCACAGTACTGAAACTGCCTTTGTAACGTAGTCAGTGACCTTCTGCTCTCTGGTGATTCTGGCTCTCTCTTTTCTCATATTTCTAGACCTCATTTCACCTTTGAAAGCTATTGTCATTATGTTTGTTTGTTTGTTTGTTTTTATTTAAAATAAATAAATATCTCAGTGCATACTTTTCAGTTGCCTGTACTGTCTCTTTGAAGCAAGGTGTTCCTCAAGGATCTGTTCTCAGGCCGTTACTATTCTTATCTATATACTACTGGTTTCAGCTACCACTGTTATGCAATAGAGCCAACGTTGCAGAACACACCAAAAAAAACTAAAGAAATGCTCTTTTCATGGGTCTACCTGCTAATTCCATTGCAAGCTACAATATATTCAAATATTCTGCAGCCAGAATACTCACCCACACCGTTCTGATTGCTATTTGTGCATCTGTTACATTAATAAAATCATTTCATTTCATCATTTCATCAATCATTTCAATCATGTCATTCACAAAAATGTCTGCTGTTTTATTTTATTGTCAAAGATAGAATTTTTTTATTCATTAAAGGGGTTATGAAATGGAGAATCAAAATCCATCAATCCATTCATTTGGATTGGAGGTTGTGACCAGAGATGGTCTTATTATTGGGAGATACAAGGTTCTACCGTTGGAGAAAGTGTAATTGTCAGCTTGAATCATGTGTGCCTTGATAACATTACAGCTACCACATTACAGCCTTGACGTCATTGATTTCCGACGCCATTGGGTTGAGCCAGTCAATCCCTGTTTGAAGATGCCACAGAAATCATTGAGAAGTACCGTAAACTGAATACTACCTGTCGCAAAATTGTCAGCGACTTCTCTTATAAAACAGTGTTTTTTTCCAGTGTAAACTGTAAAAATAGATCAATCCAAAAAGTTTCATGGCAAACATGTTGAAGATTAGCAATAGGTGGTTGAGTCATAAAAGCTTGTATAGGCTTGCCTCCAAGTGGCTTTGGTTGTGGCATTGAAGAGCCACACGTTGTTGTCTAATGTGATAAACGCAAATGCTGAAGTGCATAACCAGTTCTAGATAACCAGCTGACAGTCGTATTTAATCTTTTCTTGACAAACCATGGCTGTGTCCGAAAGCTGAAAAATGCTGCCTTTGGAGAATGCAATCCAAGCAAGGCACGTCCGAATCCAATGTCAGCTTCACTTCCTGTCTCCTGAGATGCCTTCATCTGATCGATTTTTGAAGGCAGCGCAGATGTATATGCCCATGACATCCCGCAATCCTGTGCATTCCCACAATTTCATGACAGTTGAGCTAACAAATAAAAATGGTGTTGCGATTGGTGGTCAGTGTGTAAATGGTTTTTCACCAAATTTTTCCACTTTAAGAAGTAATTTCCAACAAGTTAGTATTGAAGTTATTACATATTCACTTAGTTATCACCAAAGCTCTCTCTGTTTTGTTGTAGATCTTTAGTGTGTTTGTAATAAATGTCAAACTAGCATTTAACGCTATTACAGTTTTTACATTTTCAAAACTCGTTGCAACAAAAATCTCAAACTGATCACACTTGTAACACTGCTATTCAATCTTTCAAAACCTGATCTTATGCTTTCATTCAAGTTCTGCGTATTTCAATCCACATAATCTTTAGATTAATTTCAAAACAAAAACTCTTTGTAATATGTAATGAGAACAGTTTAGTACTTAAAAAAAACAGTTAATTCAGCAGCAAACAAGCAGGCGAGTACATTGTAAACTGTGGGAGGTCAGTTACTTCAACAGTAAATATGACCGGAATTGAGTTTACTGGCATTGGGTGGGGAGAATACTGTGTTATTGTTTTTTCTTTCTTTCTTCTCGTAGATTCATTGAAACCACAAATCTGCCCCTGAGCTGGAAAGTCTGGGGGGAGAGAGAGTTGCCCACCGCACCGCTGAAGATTCTTGATTTTGTTGGTTTTAGCCTATACTGTCAATGACTACCACTGATGCATATACGCTAAAGAAAAGACAATCTAAGAAGTCTGTCAAGAGTCTTGATTTTTAAAATTACTGCTTAGATTTAAACTTTTTCTTATTCAATTTGACTCTGACTCACAGAACGCCTTTCAGTTCTACAACAGTCTTTTCTGATCCCATAAAAATACAATTGAAATTAAAACATTTTCTGTGATTTCTCTTATATTTTTGTATACATTGTGATATCCACATAGTGCTTAAACACACTGGAAATGAATAGACAGGATGTCAGTTTATGGTGATGAGCTGTTTACTCACAAAAGTCAGCGTACTGAAGTCTTTTTTCTTTGCCGCACCAGAAATCACGTACTTCCCTACTGAATAGTTGGTGAAAAACAGTATGTGAGAAAATCAGTATGTCAGAATTCATATAGTATTCATCAAACAGTAGGCGAAATATACCCGGATGACTCACTAATAACTACTTTTTAGATTGCGAAGCGCACGCATGAGGCCACAGGATAATGGATAATGACAATATGATGAATGTAGTCTGTCTAGACTATATTACATACATTTTATACTATATAGAACATACTTTTTAACAGTTGTGATGTAATTTCTTATTTAAAAAGAAGTTCCCACTCAGAGAGTTTGCAATTTGGCGCCTGTATAAATGGAGATGCACCATTTATCTAGTTTTTATATATGTATTTGGTTCCTTGCCATGATTGCCTCTGGTTCACTATAGGGGACTAATGGACTAAAGAATTATGGAATAACGTTCTGACAGAAAGCTGGTCAATATGACCAAAATCTAGGACGACGAGATGATGCATACAGTCTTACAAAGGAGTAATCCAATCTGTAAATCTGCTTT